AAGATCTCCTTTGTTTCCTCGCTGAAGAAGGTTGTAAAGCCTCTAAGACAAAACTCCAGTGGTGCCGGCCCTCTGTGGTCTTCTTGGGACATTGCCTTTCCCATGGCACCTGTCACCTAACGAGGAACAGAATACTTGCCATTACAAACCTTTCCCTTCCATCTAACCATCAAGCTCTTCATGCCTTCTTGGGCCTCATCACATACTGCAGATCTTGGATCCCTGAGGCTTTTCAACTCATGCAACCTCTCTACGATGCTTTAAAGACTGAACCTTTTTCATTGTCTTCTACTGTCCACACCTGTTACCATGCTCTTCAAAGAGCCATCTCCTCTGCCCCTGCTTTGGGCCTCCCTAACTACCAGCTACCGTTCAAACTCTTCGTCTCAGAGAAGATTGGCCATGCTTCAGGGGTCCTTACTCAATCCCACGGTTCCCGTCAGTGTCCTACTGGGTACTTTTCCTGCATGCTTGACCCTGTGGCCAGGGGTGGTCCTTCCTGTTTGCGTGCTGTTTTTGCTGCAAGTGCCCTACTGGACAAGACTAATGACTTTGTTCTCGGACGTAAATTGACGGTTCTTGCTCCCCATGATATCGCTGCAATCCTGGATCAAGTCCAGCCCAAGCATCTCTCATCTCAGAGACATCTCCGTCTTCAAACCTCCCTCCTCTTGCCCGATAACGTTACTTTACAAATATGTTACTCCTTGAATCTGGCCACTCTTCTGCCACTTCCCAAGGGGGGAGTGCTGCAATACTGGTACAGCCTGGACATAAATCCTGATGTTTACATGGAACTTCAAGTAGAAAAGCCCACAGTTCCACATGATGAACAGCCCGAGAGCCAATTATATTGCACCCTGTGGTTCAGGGACACTCCAGGTCCTGACCCATACTATGAAGAAGAATTATTCAGCCTGGTGGAAATACACGTCACACTGACAGACCTGTTCTGTGACTCCAAAGGAAACATTGTTATCCTAGTCTACCTGCCTATGGAGGTATCACATTTATATCACCATTGGGAGGTGGCTGTTCCTCATGTCTCTTTCACCAAGTCTCCAGATCTCTCATGGAAAGAACTCGGCCCCATGGCCAAGACATGGAGTACTGCAACTCAAGAACAACTCACAGTGACAGGGGTCACTAGGAGGACCATAAATTGCAAAACTGTTGGTTACCCTCGATATCACACAGAGATATGTGAGGACATCCCTCCTACAGAACAGGACCAGGATGCCCCCCATGATTGTTTTGAACAGATGAAAATGGAAACAACCAATCTCCCAACAGTACACGAGGCTGCTCTACCGGACCCTGACTACACTCTGTTTGTGGATGGTTCTAGATTCGCAGATGAGCAGGGACAATATCATACCGGATATGCAGTCACCACAGAGGACCGAATACTCCAAGCATCTTCACTCCCCTCCACTAAGTCAGCACAAGAAGCTGAACTAATAGCCGAACTTACGGTGGCGTGCAAGATGTCTGAAGGGAAGCATGTCAATATTTATACAGACTCAAGGTATGCCCTAGGTGGGGCATACGACTTTGGCTTAATCTGGAAAACCAGGGTACTCCTGTGAAACATGACGCAGCTATCAAAGAATTGATGGATGCCTTACTACTTCCAGAAGAGGTGGCCATATTGAAAGTAAAAGCCCACAGGAAACTAAACTCAGAAAAAGCACATGGCAACCATTTAGCCGACCAGGCCGCTAAGGATGTGGCGCGCCAGTGTCGGGAAGTGGACAGAAGAGTGTCCGTCGAAAAGACCCCTATTTATACTATGCAAACCCTGTGGCGAAACCGACTTCGCCACTGGGCATTGGAGAAAACTGATTGCCAGCCTCCTGCCATGTGACTATGGCCCCTGGGATGTATTGCACTTTAAAGACATTTTTTGGGCATATTGTATTTTATTATGCAGCTGCTTGCCCTTTAAGAACCATCTGGGGACATACTGTGGAGTTACTGGGTGGCCACCATTTCATGTATCAGAGACACATGG